CCCCTCCCCCTCCCCCCCAAGTCACTACAGACAGCCGGTACCAGTATATTGATTATTTCACTTGGCTCAATGCTGGTAAATGCCGTATGTTTATAGTATGGTTTGAAGACATTGACATTTGATATGATATTTCATCTAACCAGGTGATTACCAATGACCAACCTATGACGGAACAAGTATCTATTCCCTTCAAGAGTTCACAAACATTTGAGGTACAAATACCAATATCAGTAGGCATATTTCTTAATTGCTGAACACCAAATCTTATATATTCAAGTCAACCAAGATGGCGGCTATGAAGTCACATGCTTAAAATCAAAGGCATGGCCGTCATGTTGGTTGAAATATTAAAACAAACCTAGACCAAATCTTTAGTTCAAGTTAGCCAGCATGGCGGCTATATCGTCACATGCGAGGGAGACTACAGAATAGCACGCGCGGAATCATGTCGATTAATTAAGGCGTTTCCTTGGTATTCCATTGACACGTGCCCTTGAAAACTTTGCGTTTTCCAACATTGTCATGTAAACACGCTGATTGACGTCCACCAAAATGTTATATTGTCGTGCAGGAAATTTATCGATTCCGTGGGTGCTATTTAGAAGCACTGACAGCATCATTAATTGTACGTATTATAACAGCGAACTTAGTTTACTCGTTTCGGTCATTTCATGTATAGCCAGCTGAAGACTCTCAGAAAGAAGAGGATATGATTGGCCGCCCTTTGGCACACACGACGGCTATTGAACGGGCAACCGGTGTAGCTCAGTTTGTCGATGATATTCCCCAAAGAAGAGGTAATTCCCAACGTCTCTTAAAAAAATACTACAACATTTTGGAAGTTTAGGTCCCATTATTCTAATAACGAACAGAACTGATTGTTATTTATTTTTTCAGGATTTTTATTCATAGTTTATTATATATTTGCTATTCTTAAATTGAAAACTGCCTTTAAATTGATCGTATTTTAAATTTGATGTTTCTCTATTAAATTAAGGTGAATTATACATCGTCCGATTGCTGTCGGATCGTGCTCATGCTAAAATCCTGTAAGTACGTGTGAATTTTTTGAACCCTTCGTGCATGACTGAATGGCTTTTTGGATTTGGCGGGAACTTGAGCGTCAAAAACGCGTGCGCTCGCGTGTGACGTCAACCATACGCATAGTAAAGCGACAACCGGCCGAGTTCAAGAAATGTAGTTCCGTACAAATATCTTCTCTTCACTTTTTAATGACATGATTTGTTGTCCAATGTTTTAATTGTTAAAGGTGGGGGTTAAGATTTGAGAACATTTCCCCCTTTTTTATAGCGATTATATAGAGACTATACACCATCACTAAATCCGGCGCCCATAATACAGCTTGGAATGCCCGTGGTTAGATAGCAGAACAATAAAATCGATAAATTTTGCTCTCGATTGTATAAGTCCTGCCATCTAACATGGCTGCCGTCACGTGATGGTACAAAGCCTCTATTGGTACTAGTTTGTTCCGAAAACACGTCCCAACTTAAAACCCTTATTGATTGCTTGTTTCTTGTGTTTTTGTTATTAGATCCATTGATGTGACGGAAGCACTAGACATGCCTGGAGTAGAGGCAATAATACAAGCTAGTGATGTACCAGGGACTAATAATATTGGAGTCATACCAGACGAGGAAATCTTCGCCAAAGAAAAAGTACGATATAAAGTTGCCTCTACACGTGTTATCATTTCAATTTCTGTCGTCTATAACTTAAAAGTCTCGTAAAATGAACGCCACTCGGTTGGCTTAGTTGGTTGAGCATCGGACTTTCGTGTTGGAGGTCGTGGTTCGAGTCCTGGGCGGACCAATACTCAGGGTCTTAAAATATCTGAGGAGAAGGTGCTGCCTTTGTAATAACAACTTCAAATGGTTAGACCTTCACCTGGCTCGGAAGACCACGTAAAATGGCGGTCTCGTCTCTCCACACTACCTCACTGTGCAACGGAGGGATGTAAAAGTACCACGAAGGACGTAAAGAAACCCCGGCAGTGACCACCCTCAGTGTCTGACCTTTACTAATGATTTCTTAAAGGGTTGATTGTGGGATGGGTATGGAGATTTTACGGCCGTTGGAAATTGGTGTAATGCACTTCGAAGAGGACCCTAGCTGGGTCCTATTGGTGCAGCACCAGCCTGCGGGCAAAATCTCAAATCATCATCAATCAAAAAGAGAATGAAGATATTTAATAAGTAAATTACTGTTCACTATCATCGATAAAGTAATCTTGGTTTTTTTGTGCGTGTCAGGTTGTGTATGCTGGTCAACCAATCGCAGCAGTTGTAGCCGAAACAAAAGACGAAGCACAAAGAGCAGCTAAGAAAGTGAAGGTTGTCTATGAAGACCTCCCTGCTATTATAACCATTAAGGTGAGGGTGCATGTGACGTCATAGCCGCCATTTTGGTTAATTTTGACAAAACATTTGATCTTGGTGTATTTTGTTATGTTAACCAACATGGTGGTCTCGTCTTTTGTCCTTTTATTCTCATGGGAATGGTTACACGCTACCAATAACGGGTTGCATAGTTAATTCAAGGTAATTGGCCTACGTCAATCATGCGCATCGCCTTTATACACGTCGGCACGCGATTGTTTTTGTTTTGTTTTTTGTTGTTGTTGTTGTTGTTGTTTGTTTGTTTTTGTTTTTGTTTTTTTGTTGTTTTTGCTTTTTTTATTTTATTTTTTCTGAATATATACGTTGGTAAGATATTTCGAAGAAGAAGTTGGCCGGTTTAAGTTTATTCAATATTTGTTTTTTTCTATTATTATTATTAATTCAGGACGCTATCGCTGCAAATTCATTCTTCGAGGAAAGTCACTCGATAGTTAACGGTGATGTGGATAGTGGTTTTGATGCAGCTGATCACGTGTTAGAGGGTGAAATGTACGTGGGAGGACAGGTAAAAACAAATAGACCAGTTTCAAGTTCCAAGTTATCACGCGTTCCTTGATTACAGACTCATTTACTCAGGGTTAGCCTCGAGTCAGTGTCTAAATATTCACAAATACCAACGGTAAAGTAAAGAATGCACAACTTCAACAATACAAACACTTTGAAATTCCACAAAATCGAGGCTAACCCTGAGTACGTAGAACTCGATACAGGAGTATGAATGTCGTGTTAAAATATAAAAGATATTGTGTTTTCTAAAAAGTATAAAAACACAGTCGTCCTTTTCTGTGGAGTTCAATAAACAGGTTGCATTGTGGTCTATATAGTAGCTTCTTACCAACAACAACATGAACCTTCATCACACAACAGCCATGTTTATTCTCGTGAGAATAAGCACCTTTGTTTAACCCGCATGAATTTATTCTCAAGCACTTGGATGCGAGGCTATGCGTGGTGGAATCTATTTTGCCAGTCAGCATGGCTTCCGCATGAAAAAGGCTCATATATAATAGCGCAGCGCACTGATTCTAAAAATAAGTTAAAGATTCGGACAAACGTTGCATTCTGTTTAACCGCTACGAGGATTATACGAACCGATTTTATCATTTTTACTTAAAGTTACAATAATAACCCATATAAACTAAGATCAACTGCGATCGGCTGTGAAAATTATCTGCTGAAAGTAAACTTGTAAGTTTGTTTGTCCGAATTTCGCCTTTGTCTTGCGCTGCGCTATTGTATAATCATATAATATTTGTACCCAAGATAGACCATAATGCAACATGTTTGCTATTTCAGAAAGGGTTTCACATTATAATTTCATTTCAAATCAATAGTAAAAGTACACAATTGCACTCTGGTTGCTTTTCTTAGGACCATTACTACATAGAAACCCACACATCGCTGGCCATCCCTGGAGAGAATAATGAGATGGAGATTTACTGCTCTTCCCAGTTTCCTAGTTATATACAGGTATCTTGTTCTGATTATCATAAAGTGCGCGTCAAGAGAAATAGTGTAGTGTGTAGCAAATAGAGGTGTTCGGCTTGGACATGTTTTCTTATTTCAGACCACGTGTCATTCTCTATCATGTATAATCATATTCTGTATCATCTCTTTGTTTAACAATATGGTGCGGACGATAAAACACATGAATGGACACATCTCTAACGAAGAATGTAATTCTCGAGAGAATGACATGTGGTATGAAATGGGAAAGCATTATTAAGTCCAGGGATTGACCCATGACTACAGCGGTGAGAAACGACCCCTAAGGGGTTATCGTGCTTCCCAAAAGAGCGCCTATTGCTTACTATCAATCACGTGACTTTTTGGAGTTGACTGGGGGGCAAACAAGCGGTTGACTGAGGGGCAACTAGCGGATGCTAAGTCAAAACATGTTAAAATAAGCCCTCAAACTATTTTATTTGACTATTTTCACGAAATGAAATCAGAAAACAAGAGATCAAAACAACCTCCAAGATTCTACAAGGCATTAAAAACGTAGCTATTACCGGAAGTGACGTCTATTGATAGCAACCTATTGTAGACTTGCTACAATTCGATTGTCCACCCTTTCCTTTCCCTGCCCATGGAAGGACAATTTAGCGAGCGTGAAGTGCAAGCATATTCGATTCAGGGATTCGATTTTCGTTTCGCACCAAAAATGTCGCCATTGGCTGTTTGATATAATTTATTCACAGACGGAATTTTCTAAAGTTTGGCGCGAAGCAGAAATGAAAAATCCTCAGTCCCGCCAGTAAAAAAAGGGGACATAGGACTTTTATAAAGTCTACGCCCATTGCTCTTATTCTTTTTTATTCGATCAATTAGTTCAACTCATACACCAATAAAGTAATAGAAAAACTAATAGAGCACCTAGAGAAGGCAGCCATATTTGCGTACCAAGCAATAGAAACGTCCTGCACAGTTAACGTTTTTGCATTAAAATAGAGTTCAATTCCCGGAGGATATAGAATGTTTTGGTACCCCATAATGGTCGCTGTGATGTCACGTGTAAACGCTCTATAGTTGCTAACTTTGATTATTTGATTGACAGGGGACGGTATCTCAGGTTCTCAATATCCCAAGTAATCGTATCGTAGTACGTACGAAGAACGTTGGTAAGGAGCTAAGAATACATTTTACAACTAATTATAATAATAATACTTATCATTATCATCATCACCATCATCATCACCATCATCACAACCATCATCACCATCATCACAACCATCATCACCATCACAACCATCACCATCACAACCATCATCATCATCATCATGTATCACCACTACCATCATCATCATCATCAGCATGTATCACCACTAACATCATCATCATCACCATGTATCACCACTACCATCATCATCATCACCATGTATCACCNTCACCATCATCATCACCACCACCATCATCATCACCATCATCATCACGATCATCATCACCATAATCATCTTTTTCATCTTCACCGTCCGAGTGAACTTGAGCTTGAACTTTAGCTGACTGTCGTCTAACTCTACTCACACTCGAGTTACTCTGATCTCTTCAGGAGGCGCATTTGGAGGAAAGATTTTCAGAGCAAGTCAAGTGGCATGTGCTGTTGCTGTTGCAGCATACAAGTTAGTACATATTCCTTGGTTGCAATCCTCAACTAAGGATACGTAGGGACCCCGGCCCCTCCCTCCTCCTTCCTTCGCACGTCCCCCTCGTCCCCTCTTGATCAATGGATCCACGTCCACAATTAATGATCATATTCGCGGCAATTCTATTCGTTTCTAATTGAGTTCCGCTGTTTTTATTATTATCACAGGACGGGTAAACCTGTTCGATGCGCACTAGATCGAGATGACGATATGCAAAACTGCGGACATCGCGAGGATTACCTTGTGAAGTACAAGGTGGGTAACTCGCTGTCCCAACTGGATGCTCGCACACGTAAATGATGCCAATGACTAAATAGAATATATTGATGAAAATGAACTGATAAATATATTACCTTTTTGAAACATTATCCTTTAGTTGTGGTTATTTATTCCATCTACCCTCAAGGTGGTGGATATCTAAAGTTTAGTTCTACTTTAAACTTATTTCTCACAGGTCGGATGCTCGAAAGATGGTCAAATTGTTGCATTTAAAGCCGTTTATTTCGGTAACTCGGGAGCAGCTCTCGATCTTTCTATCCTGGTAAGCAATGAAGTGTCCTTATTCTGGTTTTATGCCCTTAAATCTTTCCAATGGGAAGCCATGTCAAGGTTACGGCATGTCGTACCGTGTACTTCTGTAAGTCAGTACCGTATGTTTCTGACTCATACGATAACCATTCTTATGAAAAGCCATTTCAATGTTACGGCATGTCGTACCGTGTACGTGCTGTAAGTCAGTACCGTATGTTTCCCACTCATACGAAA